ATACTCAAAAACTAGTGTTTAAATCGACCTTGATGCACTAATTAAAAATGTCGGGAACGAAATTTTACATATAGCAAGCAACAATCTATTGTTATAGTCGCTCGCTAATATTAACGCCTAACCCTAAGCTTCTATCTTTACGCAATTGGTTTATTTACAAAATTCGATTTTCTTTTTTGGTTTGTGTTACTCGCGCAAATAAGTAAACTCTACAAGCACAGACGGTTACTGGTTGGTATCTTGCTCAAGTAACTGGTTAACTGTAAGGTCCTTGTTATAGGTTGTTTAATTTCTTTTTTGAATTTCGGCACCCATCTACATTCGATTGAATTTTTAAAAAAATTAATTTTGATTTAATTATTAAATCAATGGATTCCTCTGAAAAAAAGCATTTTACTTTTGATGACATTCCTGATTTGACTGGAAAAGTAATTAACATCCGATTAAATGAAATACAGTATAACATACTACCTATTAAATGTTTTTATTTATCTATTACTGTATCGTTAGGTTGCAGTTGTTACAGGAGGAAATGCTGGGATAGGATATGTTACATGTAGGGAATTAGCCAGAAAAAATGCACATGTGTTCGTATTAGGTCGTAATATCGAAAAAGTTCAGGCCGCTGTTGAAAAAATTAGAACCGAGACTGGTAATCAAAATGTTGAATTTTTACACTTGGATTTAGGAAGTTTAAGGTCTGTTAAAAAATGCGCTGAAAATTTTTTGGCTAGAGATTTACCGTTACATATTCTGTAAGTTCTATTATTATAATTATTTTACATTAGTTTAGATGTTACTAATTGATTGTTCATTTTTATCAGAATTAACAATGCGGGAATCTCAGCAGAGTAAGTAATAATGTTAAAATTTCATTTGTAGTTTCACTTGTGGCTATATATTTTAATAAGTGAATATAACAAAATAGTCCATTTTCGCTTACTGAAGATGGAATTCAAGAAGAATTTGGAGTAAATCATGTCGGCCATTTTGTAAGTAAACGAACAAATAGATTCTTAACTTATAAATTGTTAATTTATTAGACACAAAATTCATAATAACAAACTTTTTTTTTATATATTGATAGCTTTTTACTAAATTATTATTGCCAAAAATTAAAGCTTCAAAACCAGCACGTATAGTAAATGTTAGCAGTCGTGGTCATAGATTTGCTCCAGAGGGTGGAATTGAATTTGAGAAGATAAATGATCCAAATGCTCAGGAAACAATGATACGTTATGCACAATCAAAACTTGCAAATATTTTATTCACTTACGAATTGAATAAACAATATCTTGAAGGAGAGCAAGTATATGCTAACTCTCTTCATCCAGGTAATACTAAAATAATCTTTAAAATTTAATTAAAACAGCTATATTGATTGACCAATTAATATTGATATTATTTATTTAGGTGTCGTAGATACAAGCATGTTAAGGAACTCTAGTGTTGTGACAGAAAACTTACGTGCTTCTGCAATCTCACCTGATGATGGTGCTATTACTACCTTGTATTGTGCTACAAGTCCAGAAATCGAAGCGAAGAATTATCGCGGAAAGTATTTTGAACCATTTGGTAAAGAAGCTGAACCATTTAAATATACTAATGATGATGATTTGGCTAAAAGGCTTTGGGAATTTACTGAGAATTTGATAAATGAAAAATTACCACAAGTTTGACTTATTTATTCATTTATTTATTTATTACGTAATTTTTGATATCGATATTCTGGTCTATTTAGTAAAACAGATGACCTCTTTTTCTATTACATACCATTGCTAAATGAATATCATGTAAGATATCATTAAATAGTAGATATCTAATAATTTTAGCATAGATTTAACTTTAAAACAAAATGTTATTTGCTCTTCATTCGCAAAATTAATTACAAACTGGGAACTAAAGGTGTCACGAAAATGGTTATATTGTATATGTATATATCTTGATCATGCTATGCATCCATCACTACGCTCTGAGTAGTGGTCTTAGTTATAAAAACATCGTTGGACGAGATAGAATAGGATAGAGCCAGAAGTGACAATCCAAAATTATGCAATATTTAAAAGAATTGGGTCAATCAAAAAGTATACAGTAGGCCAATACATATATGATTCAAAGTGGGTTTTATTAATTTTATTCTATTTTTTTAAAAAAAGTTCTTTTTTTTTTATCATAATTTTGATTTATTAATATAATTCACGCAATACAATTGGGCATTAGAAAAGTCACTAAACAGTCCCTTTTTTTAATGATGATAACGATGAATAATTATCATCGTGATTATAATAGTAATTTCTGCATAAGATTACCAAAAAAAAAGGTACTGTTTAGTGACTTTTTTAATGTAAACATGTCTTATACACAATTCGTTAAAAAAAATTCTTATACAAATGCTCAGACATAAGTTTTATCTGACTAAATTTAATTGATGGTTCTAATGTAAACATGTTTTTTATACATAATTTGTTAAAAAATTTTTTTAATATATGAAACGCTCAGATATAAGTTTTTAATTGGTGGAATTCATGAAATGGTAATTTATTGAAAATTTTTATATTTTCTTAAACTATTCGAAAGATACACAAGAAGTTCAATCGAAGATGAGATTCATCTACAACGAATAGAAATATGGTAGAATTGACTAACCTAAAAAATTTCGCTGCTAGATTAGGATTAGGTTAGAAGAGCTTTAGTAATATCAAAATTTTACAAGAAAAAATTTTCATTAATGCGTAAAAGGCAGCTCCATAGATAAAATGTTTGAGTAATAACGATTTTTTGGATCATGATTTTTACGTTTCTTTTGAGTCACACCTGATCTTGAAATCTGATTTTGAAATCTGATTTGTTATCGAAATTTTTTAGAGCGGCAACGCTAGGACAGTTATAAAGTAGTAGGAAAGTGGTGAAATTAGTAAATGCAGCCTGGTTTCTATCGTGTTTGATTAAAAAATTTGTGCACTAGAAATTGCATAATTTTTCATTTCCACTGTTCAAATTCTATTTGAAATGCATTTTATTGGTATAAAATTTTATACTATATTTTGATTATCAAATTTGTTACATTAAACGCAGTACAACTAGTATTATAGTAATCAATAAGTTAAATATTACTAGCAACATCATGCGCGCTAATATGCATTCATGCACATGATATTATAAAATACAATTTTTTTCTATCTCTAGTAACACGTTTTGCTTGTGAATAATTCAAGGATTCTCACATAAAAGATTTTTTGAGAGATATAATTTGTTGATATTTAAGGTATTTCTAATATAGCAAAATAAAATAGTAAACAAATATTCTATAACCTGGATATATAATAATAAAACATACCTTCAAGGCAACAACATGATTAATTATCATTTCTGCTAAAGGAATAGTTGTTTTGTTAGTTATCAGTCTTGTTTTTTGAATGACCAAGAGCAGTAAATCACATCATAATTTAAGTTTATAATAAAAGATTTGAATAATTCTTAAGATTACTACTTTATTATTACTCTTAATAGTATCACTTGTCATTGTATCATTTTATTATTATTTTTTATTGATATTAAGTATTTGTTATAGTGTTATTGTTTATTTAGTCCTTTAACAATTATAAAAAATTTATCTCATTTATCCAAGTTTATATTTATTTTCTTGTATATCATTGGAGTTAAATTGGTTTATACTCTATAATATTTTTTTAAGTTCATTCATCAACAGTTATAATATAATTAAAAGGAAGAAATTCATCAACCAAAAAATTAACAAAAATAGATAAACCTGATGAGACTGTTATATTGTTAAACTCAGATATGCAAATAATACAAAATAACAATTCAATACTAAAATAAATAATTTTATATAAAAGTTTATTATATTAATTATTTCATAATCATTAGAAGAATTATTCAAATCTTTTATTATAAACTTAAATTATGATGTGATTTACTGCTCTTGGTCATTCAAAAAACAAGACTGATAACTAACAAAACAACTATTCCTTTAGCAGAAATGATAATTAATCATGTTGTTGCCTTGAAGGTATGTTTTATTATTATATATCCAGGTTATAGAATATTTGTTTACTATTTTATTTTGCTATATTAGAAATACCTTAAATATCAACAAATTATATCTCTCAAAAAATCTTTTATGTGAGAATCCTTGAATTATTCACAAGCAAAACGTGTTACTAGAGATAGAAAAAAATTGTATTTTATAATATCATGTGCATGAATGCATATTAGCGCGCATGATGTTGCTAGTAATATTTAACTTATTGATTACTATAATACTAGTTGTACTGCGTTTAATGTAACAAATTTGATAATCAAAATATAGTATAAAATTTTATACCAATAAAATGCATTTCAAATAGAATTTGAACAGTGGAAATGAAAAATTATGCAATTTCTAGTGCACAAATTTTTTAATCAAACACGATAGAAACCAGGCTGCATTTACTAATTTCACCACTTTCCTACTACTTTATAACTGTCCTAGCGTTGCCGCTCTAAAAAATTTCGATAACAAATCAGATTTCAAAATCAGATTTCAAGATCAGGTGTGACTCAAAAGAAACGTAAAAATCATGATCCAAAAAATCGTTATTACTCAAACATTTTATCTATGGAGCTGCCTTTTACGCATTAATGAAAATTTTTTCTTGTAAAATTTTGATATTACTAAAGCTCTTCTAACCTAATCCTAATCTAGCAGCGAAATTTTTTAGGTTAGTCAATTCTACCATATTTCTATTCGTTGTAGATGAATCTCATCTTCGATTGAACTTCTTGTGTATCTTTCGAATAGTTTAAGAAAATATAAAAATTTTCAATAAATTACCATTTCATGAATTCCACCAATTAAAAACTTATATCTGAGCGTTTCATATATTAAAAAAATTTTTTAACAAATTATGTATAAAAAACATGTTTACATTAGAACCATCAATTAAATTTAGTCAGATAAAACTTATGTCTGAGCATTTGTATAAGAATTTTTTTTAACGAATTGTGTATAAGACATGTTTACATTAAAAAAGTCACTAAACAGTACCTTTTTTTTTGGTAATCTTATGCAGAAATTACTATTATAATCACGATGATAATTATTCATCGTTATCATCATTAAAAAAAGGGACTGTTTAGTGACTTTTCTAATGCCCAATTGTATTGCGTGAATTATATTAATAAATCAAAATTATGATAAAAAAAAAAGAACTTTTTTTAAAAAAATAGAATAAAATTAATAAAACCCACTTTGAATCATATATGTATTGGCCTACTGTATACTTTTTGATTGACCCAATTCTTTTAAATATTGCATAATTTTGGATTGTCACTTCTGGCTCTATCCTATTCTATCTCGTCCAACGATGTTTTTATAACTAAGACCACTACTCAGAGCGTAGTGATGGATGCATAGCATGATCAAGATATATACATATACAATATAACCATTTTCGTGACACCTTTAGTTCCCAGTTTGTAATTAATTTTGCGAATGAAGAGCAAATAACATTTTGTTTTAAAGTTAAATCTATGCTAAAATTATTAGATATCTACTATTTAATGATATCTTACATGATATTCATTTAGCAATGGTATGTAATAGAAAAAGAGGTCATCTGTTTTACTAAATAGACCAGAATATCGATATCAAAAATTACGTAATAAATAAATAAATGAATAAATAAGTCAAACTTGTGGTAATTTTTCATTTATCAAATTCTCAGTAAATTCCCAAAGCCTTTTAGCCAAATCATCATCATTAGTATATTTAAATGGTTCAGCTTCTTTACCAAATGGTTCAAAATACTTTCCGCGATAATTCTTCGCTTCGATTTCTGGACTTGTAGCACAATACAAGGTAGTAATAGCACCATCATCAGGTGAGATTGCAGAAGCACGTAAGTTTTCTGTCACAACACTAGAGTTCCTTAACATGCTTGTATCTACGACACCTAAATAAATAATATCAATATTAATTGGTCAATCAATATAGCTGTTTTAATTAAATTTTAAAGATTATTTTAGTATTACCTGGATGAAGAGAGTTAGCATATACTTGCTCTCCTTCAAGATATTGTTTATTCAATTCGTAAGTGAATAAAATATTTGCAAGTTTTGATTGTGCATAACGTATCATTGTTTCCTGAGCATTTGGATCATTTATCTTCTCAAATTCAATTCCACCCTCTGGAGCAAATCTATGACCACGACTGCTAACATTTACTATACGTGCTGGTTTTGAAGCTTTAATTTTTGGCAATAATAATTTAGTAAAAAGCTATCAATATATAAAAAAAAAGTTTGTTATTATGAATTTTGTGTCTAATAAATTAACAATTTATAAGTTAAGAATCTATTTGTTCGTTTACTTACAAAATGGCCGACATGATTTACTCCAAATTCTTCTTGAATTCCATCTTCAGTAAGCGAAAATGGACTATTTTGTTATATTCACTTATTAAAATATATAGCCACAAGTGAAACTACAAATGAAATTTTAACATTATTACTTACTCTGCTGAGATTCCCGCATTGTTAATTCTGATAAAAATGAACAATCAATTAGTAACATCTAAACTAATGTAAAATAATTATAATAATAGAACTTACAGAATATGTAACGGTAAATCTCTAGCCAAAAAATTTTCAGCGCATTTTTTAACAGACCTTAAACTTCCTAAATCCAAGTGTAAAAATTCAACATTTTGATTACCAGTCTCGGTTCTAATTTTTTCAACAGCGGCCTGAACTTTTTCGATATTACGACCTAATACGAACACATGTGCATTTTTTCTGGCTAATTCCCTACATGTAACATATCCTATCCCAGCATTTCCTCCTGTAACAACTGCAACCTAACGATACAGTAATAGATAAATAAAAACATTTAATAGGTAGTATGTTATACTGTATTTCATTTAATCGGATGTTAATTACTTTTCCAGTCAAATCAGGAATGTCATCAAAAGTAAAATGCT